GTGTAGAGGTCTTTTGCTTCCTTTGTTAGATTGATTCCTAGATATTTCATTTTTTTGGATGCTATTGTAAAAGGAATTGTTTCCCTAATTTCTGAGTCTGTTATTTGTGTACAAGAACACTACTGTTTTTTGAGTGTTGACCTTGTATCCAGCTACTCTACTGAAACAGATTCATTACATTTTAAGACACGTGTGAGTGGGAATAATGACATTTCTTCTGGGGAATGGGTAGCATCATTTTTATCTTTAGTTTTTTAAAATTTTGTTTCTGAGTAGAACTGTTATTCACTAGTGAGAACTTAAGATGACATCTTATACAAATGTAAGTTTTGTAAGAAACATGCTTGGAGGGATGGAGAGGGAGAGATTAGTTAATCACTGGCACACAGTTCTCAACAGTGAGCTGCCCTGGGGTGCTGAGTTTGTACCAGAGAAATAGGTGCACATCCCATAAAAGACATAGTATGTATCGTAGTGATTCATTATTTCAAAAATCTGGAAACAAGCCAGATAGTCACAAAAGAACATGCCAGGTGTGGTGGCACACTTCTGTAATCCCAGCACTCAGGAGGCTGAGGCAGGAGGATCACTTGAGTTCAAGGCCAGCCTGAACTACAAAGTGAGACCCTGTCTCAAAAAAAACCAAAATAAAATATACCAATAAAAATTAAAAAAACAAAAACAGGCTAAATCCTGGGTGGTTCCTCTGCATGGAGTGCAGACAGGGAGGATACTGGTTACCTCTGGGTGAGTGGAGATGGCAGGCAGGGACACTGGGCATCTCCAGAATTGGAAATGGTCTGGATGGAAATCAGCATGTTATCACAAAGCAGTCCCCTACGAAGAGAGTCAGTTACATGCTTACCAGCAGTTTACTACTGCTTTATGGAACTGTAAAACCTTGCCGAGCTCCTTTACAATGTGAGCACTGCACCATGCATAGGTTTTACATTAACAAACTCTAAACAGGAGGCTTCCCACAGATGGCCATGGTTATCCTCTCCACCTGTTCCCTTCCACAACCTGGGGCACCTCAGGATGCTCTGGGTCACCCACAGCACTGTGGCCATGCTAGCCAGCTGGCTCCTGTCTCTTTGTCCTCAGCACTAGTGGCCTCAAGCATCTCCAGGGACATGGCCAGAGCACTTCAAAGCCGTGTCTGGAATCCACTCTGGTACTGGCCAGCCCACAGCCCCTCTCTCCCTCCCACCCTGATGTCTTCTTAAGTGTTCATCCCTTCCTGACCGCCCTACCTCAAGAACGCCCCCACTCACACTACTTACTCTGCTCTCAGAACCTAAGACAGCTTGGGCTCATGGCTCCTCATTCAATGAATGACTGCAAACTTCCTTTTTAAAAATAGAAATGTTTTCCATACAAAACAATTAGATTCATCTTGGGGAATTGGTACATAGTCTTAATCACTTACTTCCCCTACCCTACCTTGTTGTCCCCCCCCCCCCGCAAACCTCCACAAACTTCCTTTTCTGCTCCAATACCAAGTTGGACCTCCCCATGCCCAAGAGAAACCTGCTATTGCCCTTGATTTTTCCCGTTTCTTCTCCTGTCCCCAAATCCACTGATCGCCAGGGCCTACAAATCCCACCCCTGAATGGTAACTGAATCTGCCTATTCATCTTCTCCCGCTCAGCACCCTTCTCCTTGGCCCTCCCATCCATTCCCCACCTTCCAGGCACAGGACGCCCTGCCCATCTTAGGCCCCAGTTCCCTAGGGAGGCCTTCCTTCTGTCCCATCGCTATCCAGTGCAGGCGGCACAGCTTCTGTCATGGGTTCTGGCTGCTGGAATGTCGTCCAGTGTCGCACACTCTACAGGTGGAACCCTATCGCCAGGCCCAGCACAACCCAGGCATCCAATACATCTAGAATAGAAACTGTCATCCCCTCTCAGCCTGGTGCCTCCCCTGATAAACACTGCGACAGCCTATGATGATGGTGGGGATTGAGTCCAATTTTTAAAGCAGTCCAGGGTAGGGCCGGGGATTTAGCTCAGTGGTTCCACCGCCCGCCTCGCAAGCGGAAGGACCTGAGTTCGATCCCCGGTACCAAAAAGAGTTTTTAAAAAAGCAGTCCATATGGCCCATCATATCCGCTAAATAAAGGAAGTTTTAAAATAAAGGCTGAGGCGGCAGGTTCCCAAGTTCGTGCCCAGCCTGAGCAACCTAGGGACTTAAGACACTTGTCTCAAAATTTTAAAAACAGAGGGTGAAGCTTGGGGATGTACCTCGGTCAGAAGGCCTTAGCTTCAAGCCTCAGTTCCAGCCGCAAAACAGTTTAAAATTACACACTAATTGCCTTAGCCGCCTTGGAAAATGGCTGGACAATGATCCCAGCTGCAAGTCGCAGTTTCTGAGCCACTTCCCGGCCATCCTCCACACGAGGGCCGCACACTCGCGAAACAGAAACCGGAACGGGACAAGGAGCCTAGACCCGTCGGAAGCAAGACACCTCCGCGCCAGGTGCCTCCGCAAGCTGTTCCGGCGTCAAGGAGTCCTGGGGGATCAGAGTTCCGGTGTCCCAAGGTTCCGAGGACACCCAGGAGTTTGCCAGAACCAATCACAAACGAGCGCTTCCGGTCCCGCCCCAAAAGGCTACGCGACAGGGCCGGGGATTTAGCTCAGTGGTTCCGCCTCCTGCCTGGCAAGAGTAAGGATCTGAGTTCGATCCCAGGTTCGGAAAAAGAACAACAACAACAACAACAACAACAAAACCGCGACAAAGCCCATTGGCCGGCAGCCCTTCTACCAACCCCCTCCGAGACATGCCCCGCTCACGTGACCCAGCTTGTGCGGCGACCCCGGAAGCCGCCTGGCTCAGCGGCTAACCCGGCTGTGAGCTCTACGTCCGCGCGGCGGGGAGATGTTCTCGGCGGGCGAGGAGAGCTTGCTTCACCAAGCCAGGTGCGCGGCAGGTGCCCGCACCTCTGCCCTGGGCCGGGCGCGGGGCCGACTGACCGGCTCCGGAGAACGGGGTGGACGGGGCAGCTGCCGGCCCGGCGCGGGTTAGGGTCGGGAGAGGCAACAGCTGAGCAGCGTTGCCGGACGAGCGACCGGAGGTCCAGGGAAGAGGGAGCTCCCCGGAGCTCGAGCCCGACCTGGGGCTTGGGGGCCTGCAAGGGATGTCACGTAGAACAACCTCTCCCTTGTCCCAGGCTGGCTCTCGACTCCCACTAACTAGCCTATGGCTCCGTCAGTGAAGAAGGCCGATTTGATGCTACTTGTTTAAGGAAGGAAATGCAGCTGGAACCTCAGGCTTTTGGTAAACCGAAAAAGCAAACGAACCAGCCAGCGTTGAGATTTGGACCAGCTGGTGGGAAAGATTAGAGTGGCCGAGGTCCCAGAGGTTGCTGTTAGCGAGGTCCTGGGGCAGACTAAGGGCTGTAGTCTTTGACCAGGACAAAATTCTGGTCAAAATAACTTCTGAGAATTTCTTAGGGACGTTTTGGTGGAGGTGCCACACACTCTCCCCTTCTGCCCAGCACAGTGCACCCTGCCTTTATTAGCGGGTGAGTGTGCAGATACCAAATTGATTGCACATTAAAGGAAAGACATGCATTCCACTCCTAATGCAACCTGCTCTCCCCAGACTGCTGGCAAGAGACAGAAACCCGCAAAACACCATTCCCAGCTCACAACCTACACAGTTCCTCTGGGTTAGAGTTTGGATGGCCAATAACCTATTAGGATCTAACTAGATTCCATAGTAGACTTTTGTGTGTGTGTGCCGGGGATCAAACTCGGGACCTTTTGGTTGCAGGACAGGAGCTCCATGGTAGACTTTTAACTGATTTCTGGGTGGTGCTTTTGATAGAAGTAACTCAGGTTTGAGAGATAGGAAATTTCAGTTTCCTTTTGAATGTTTCCGAGGTGTGGAAAGTAAGGGTGGAGGAGGGCATCTGAAACATGTCTGAGCTGAGTAGTAAATGAAGGTGATGCACAGCAAGGTCCCAGCCTGGCTCATTCTGGCAAAGGATCCGTAGGAGGGAGTGGCCCAGCCATAGAAGCCAGAGAGGGTCTGCAGGAGTGAGGCTTGGGGTCGGGCAGGACAGCTGCGGTTGGGAAGCCTGGCGTCTGGAGAGCATATTGAAGGGGTTATGCTGGGATGCAGAGTACGTCCATGCTGGGAATGAAAACTACAATTGGCAAGCCAGTCGTTGGTTGCCTCTTCCTCAGTCTGATTTTGCACTTGGGGTTCAACCTCATGACCCCAGTTAAACAAAAACCTGGCCTTGTCCTCTTTTCGTGTCCCCTTTCTCACCTTCTACCTGTTCTTTTGCCTGAATATGACTGGCCAGCTTGAAGGCCAGGCAGGGATGAGGGTGATGGGGAATTCCTGGGGTGCACCTGACCACCTGCAGGGAGGAGCAGGATCACAGGAGCCATCCAGGTCCTCAACCCCAGACCCCAGGCTTCGGGTCTCCTCTCCGTTCCCAGTCTGAGCTCAAGCAGCTGTAGGCCCAGAATGGGTTGAGTCTATGAGCTTGGACCCATTGGCCATGCCCGGAGGATGCTGTGGAGCCTTCAGCCACGGCTTGGAGGGTCAGGCATGTGGAGAGGGACAGTGGCCATTCTCAGAGAGCCCCCAAAGGTGCCTCATGTTGCAGCTCCATCACTTTTTGCCTTTTATTGTCTTTTAGCCTGGGATTTAAAACCCCAAAATAGGTTTCCATGGTGAGACTCTGTCAGTGTCTTTTCTCAGTGCTTAGTAGATAAAGTTTCAGGTTAAGCCAAGTATTGGGGTAGAATATATCAGGTTTACCTTATGATCTGTTGTAACATTTGCCCTTTTTTGTTCGTTTGTTGTTTGTTTTTGCGGGTCGTACCAGAGCTCGAACTCGGGACCTTGTGCTTTCGAGGCAGGCGCCGGAACCACTGAGCTAAATCCCTGGCCCTTGCCCTTTAATTTATAAGCTTTATGTATTCTTGTTTTTTAGAAGTAAAATTTTCTTTGAAGCATCTTTTAAAAAGCAAGTTGGATAAATTTTTTTACTTTTGAGTGACACTCCCTTTCTTTTTTGTTTGTTATTGCTTTTTTTGGTACTGGGGATTGAACTCAGGACCTTGCGCTTGCAAGGCAGGTGCTGGAACCACTGAGCTAAATCCCCGGCTCTTTTTTGTTTGTTTTTTGATGTTTTGAGATAAGATCTTACTGTGTAGTTCAGGATGGCTCTGAACTCATTATGTAGCCCAGGCTGGCCTCAAACGCCCAGCAATTCTCCTGCCTCAGCTCCCCGAGTGCTGGGATTACATGCGCCCTGCCTGGGTGAGACTGCTAAATAGGTAGTTTTGGTTCTGCTTCTGGAATAACAGAACTGGAATGGGTGCATCTCTACAAGGGTTGTAGTGAAGTAGGAGTGATGGGTTTCAGTCCTGGTGCTCCTTGAATTGACCTCAGGATGTCCTTGGCTGGGGGAACAGTGGCACCGCAGCTCCCCATCCTCTGCTAAGTTGGTTCCCCCCGCTCCCCAGCACCAGCTAGGTCCCTGGTCAGATGCTGGCCGGCTGCTGACACCCTTTTCTTGCTCAGGGAGATCCAGGATGAGGAGCTGCAGAGGTTCTGCTCCCGAGTCAGCAAGCTGCTGCAGGAGGACCTGGGACCAGCCACCGTGGATGCCCTGCAAAGACTCTTCCTCATCATCTCGGCCACCAAGTACGTGCGCAGGTGAGTACACGGCAGCCCTGGGCAGAGGCTGGGGCCAGCACCCTGTGGCGGCTGAGCCTCTGCTTACTTAAACTCCTACCCAGGGTCCTCACAGGGAAACATTCTGTCCCCTGCCCTGTGAGCCCAGGCCAGTCTTCCTGACACTGGCATGACCTGCAGCCCACCCGGGTCTTGCCCTCCAGGCTGGAGAAGACGTGTGTGGATCTGCTGCAGGCCACCCTGTCCTTGCCCACATGCTCTGAGCAGGTCCAGGTCCTCTGTGCCGCTATCCTGAGAGAGATGTCACCCTCCGACAGCCTGACCCTGTCCTGTGATCACACCCAGACCCCCCATCAGCTGAGCCTGGTGGCGTCTGTACTCTTGGCACAGGTAACACAGTTGCATGGGACCCAGTGCTCAGATGATTCTAGAACGGCCGATGCCTGCCTGCTCCCTCCCCACCTCCTTGGATTCTGCTGAAGCCAGCTCAGGCTGTGAGGTTTGGGCTGCAATATTCCTAGACACACTCACTGGTGGCACTGGTGAGGCTAAGGGGACAGTGGCCATGGTCTGCTTTCTAGTGTTCCCAGGCAGCTGCCATGCTGCTTTGACAGAGATCAGACTGGGGTTCCGATGAGAGGAGATGCCCTCAACAGTGAGCTAGGGCCTGCTCTGAGGGGCCTGTCCACACTATGCCTGTTCCCTAAGCAGGCACATCCCAGAAGGACCGGGGCAGCCTTGCCATTTTAGGACCAGGAAGCCACCCACAGTACTGACCAGCAGCCCCGGGTCCTTCCTTGGCTGCCTTCATAGCTGTGATGGTAGAGGGTCACCCACCTCTGTCCCTCTGCTGTCCCCACTTCCTGTCATTTAGGAACATGTACAGGCCTAGGACACTTTTGCCTGCTTTGCTGCATTTGCCTCGGACAGGACTCGCCTTCCCAGCAGCTGCTCACAGAAAAGACTGGGCCGGTTTGCTGTGGTCCCCGGTCTGGACCAAGCTGATGGCCTCGGGTGGGGTCTCCTGTCCCTCCGTCCTCATCAGAGGGGCTTGGTCACATCGAGCCTGGGAAGCTTCACCATTCCTGCTGCAGGCAGCTTCTGCACACAGTACCCCCAGCACCGTGGCCGGGACAGCACGGGATGCCCAGCATGTGGGCCAGGCACCTGGGGGCTGAACCAGCAGCCTGTGTAGGAGAAGCTTCTTTGCTGCCCTGCTCTTGGGGCTCTCGGCAGAGCAGATAGGGATGCACACAGTGGAGGAGGCGCCTCGGTTCCACCCTGCAGTCCTCTGAGTCGTGAGCAACCACAGCTACTATGGACTTAGTGTCAGGATAAGTGTCAGATGGTGCGCGTTGGGGGCTCTGCTGCTGTGACCCTGACGGGCGCTGCGCTGTCCATGCTAGACCCCCGAGCCTCTGCAGACCACACAGCTGAATCCCTAAGTGACCTGGCAGTACTGTGGCCACTGCCTCAATGCTGCTGCCAGATGACCCAGCCTTTTCGTTCACCTCCTGCTTTATCCTGGAACCAGCCCCCTTCCCTCAGGGAACTCAATTCTCTGAGTAGAAAGCAACATTCAGAACCCTCGGTCAGATACCAGTGTGACCCTCGAGGCTGCTGCCTGTGGCTCCCTCCTGCTGCTGGGGGCCATGTACACATGTGGGTTTGACGGCTTCCCTGTCACTAATGTTCCATTTTACCTGCTCAACTTTAAGAACTTAACCAGTGATGTGAAGGTTTAGTGCAGGGAGCTGTGAGGCTCTGCCCCCTGGACTGACTGGAGGACGTTGCATGGTCACAGTTAGACCATCCATGCCCAGTGTGCCCGCCACGAGCACGTGTGCATGACTGGTCTCATGAGCAGGTACCCTGCAATGGCAGGGCCCTGGAAGAAGAGGGACAGTCAGACAGGTCAGGGCTCGGCCCAGCCCAGACTCCTGGTCATGGGCCTGGTCGTTGCCAAGGGTGCTGGGTGCTGGAACCTTCAATCCTGAAACCCACAGGGGCATCTTCCTCTAACGGTACTGTCAGGGACAGGGACCGGTGTTCCTCAGGGAGCTTCCTGCAGACTTACGAGGCAGGGGTCTCGCTCTGGCGAATGAGCAAGTCGGTGGCTTGGCATCTACTTTGTGCTTGCTTTGAAGGGTGACAGAAGAGAGGAGGTCAGAAGAGTGAGCCAGCACGTCTTCACTGTCCTGGAGAGCCGGCAGCCCGAGGGCCCTAACCTCAGGCCCCTCTTGCCAGTCCTGTCCAGGGTCATGGGCCTCGCCCCAGGGACCCTTCAGGAAGGTACCAGGGCCCTTCCCTATCTGGGGTTGCCTTCCTGGCTCCTTCCTGCCGATGCCCCCTGGGAGGGGTGGGCATTCTCCGGGTCAGGTTGTGTCCAGGGAAGACCTTGGGCATGGAGTTCTTCGGGACTCAGCTTACTTCATGGGGCTTGGGAGTCTGTGGGGTTTAACTTCCCTTCAGTGGGACCCCCTGCCTCCCCTCACTCCCACAGACCAGGCCACCCTGCTCAGCAAGCGGCTAGTGGACTGGCTGCGCTATGCCCGAGTCCAGCAGGGGGTCCCACACTCAGGGGGCTTCTTCTCCACACCCAGGGCACGGCAGGTGAGTCAGGCTGCTTCCAGACCTCTGTCCCCTGGCCAGTCCTGTGCCCCCAGCCTTACCCAGCAGATTCAAACTGACCCCTCCCGGCCTTCTATCTGGTGCCACCTTCATCGCTGTGTGGCCTGCGGCTGTGTGTGGGGTTGACATTCATGACCTGCAAGGATGCAGGACATGTATCTGACATCCGATCAGGCCATGTGCTGTGTCTCCATGTCCTGGGGTGGCCTTGGCCTCCTGGATCTGGGAGGGAATGGACAGGGCAGGAGGTGCAGGTCTCTGGGCTCCCACCCCTGGGTCACACTAGAGCGGGGTCCTCCCACCCTGCCGAGCAGCTGGTGAGCCTGCAGCCCTGCCTCTCCCTTCTCCTGCAGCCGGGCCCCATCACCGAGGTGGATGGGGCGGTGGCCTCGGACTTCTTCACAGTGCTGTCCACGGGTCAGCACTTCACAGAGGACCAGTGGCTGAACGTGCAGGCCTTCTCCATGCTGCAGGCATGGCTGCTGCTCAGTGGCCCCAAGGGCCCAGGCCTTCCAGACGCAGGTGCAACAGGCCAGGGGGTGGGAGGCAGGTGTGCCCAGGACAGAGTGCAGGTTACCGTGGGGTGGCACGAGGAGGTGGCGACCTGGGGAGGTTGCTGCTCGGGGCTGAGCTGAAGACCCAGCCCCGCATCACTGGCTGAGCCTCAGTCTGAGGTTGAGGCCTCTTTAGATGGGACATGCTGGTGACCCTCCATGGCGGGGACAGAGGAACGTTTGTGAAAGATGTCTCTGACCTGTTCAGGACAGCCTCACTGAGTGTCATCTCGTCTGCAAACTCTTGGTTTGTAGAAAAAGCCACTGTAGCCCAGACCCCATGGACTTCCAGGGGAATGGGACTTCGGTTCCCAGTGCAGTGAAAGTTGCCAGGTGTGGTGGGCAGGCCCCAGGGCCCTGTGCTCTCTGGGAACCTGGCTGCGGCAGTCCAGTTCCCCTGGGACTGGCTGAGGGTGGCCGCCTCCTAAGCCCCTCCTCTCCCACAGAGGACAAGTCTGAGCTGGAGGGCTCCACCCTCTCCGTGCTCTCTGCCGCCTCTGCTGGCCGCCAGCTGCTCCCTCAGGAGCGTCTGAGGGAAGTGGCCTTCCAGTACTGCAAGCGCCTCATCGAACAGAGTAACCGGCGTAAGTGCCCAGGCTGGCATCCGGTACTTTGGCCCAGATCCACGAGGCAGGCAAAGTTCCCCGTAGCTAGTTCAGGATGGGGCCTCCATGCTACCCAGGATGACCCCCAGCAGCAGGCCCGGCCTGTACCCCTGCCACGTCCCACGGCCACAGCCCCACCCCGCGTCCTCTCCGCCTGCTCTCTCCCTGTCCCCGCCTCCAGCTTCCAGAACAGGCCACCTTCTCAGGGGGCTGTTCAGGAGCTAACTTCTTCCTTCCCCAGGAGCCCTGAGGAAGGGGGACTCTGACCTGCAGAAAGCGGTAAGTGGCCAGGCCAGGGTGGCAGGGACAGGGCAGCGCTCAGCCCCCTGATGCCGGCCCCGTCCCCACAGTGCCTGGTGGAAGCCGTGCGGGTGCTGGATGTGCTGTGCCGGCAGGACCCTTCCTTTCTGTACCGCAGCCTCTCCTGCCTCAAGGCGCTGCGCGGGCAGCTGGGCCAGGACCCAGGCAGCGAGCGGGCACTGCTGCCACTCGCCCAGTTCTTCCTCAACCACGGTGAGTGTGGCGCAGAGGGCAGGTCCGGTCAGCAGGAAGCCTGCGGGGCACTCCCGCCGCAGTTAGGGGTTATTTCTCCCAGCACCGTTAGTGTGTTACCGCCATGCTTTGGTTAAAAAACAAAAACAGCCGGGGATTTAGCTGAGTGGTTCCACCACCTGCCTCGCAAGCTCAAGGTCCCCAGTTTGATCCCCAGTACCAAAAAAGTAAATAAAGTGAAACAAAATATGGTCAACTTGATGTCAGAGTGAGAATGCTCCTCGCTGTGCCTTTCACCCATGAAACCCAAACGTGGAGGACCTTCCTAAGCATGTTTCCCGGGTTTGTGCTCCTAGGGGACCCACCTGGTCGGTGGCTGAGTCCAGCTCAACTAGATGTTCCTGTCTGGGACATTTCAAAAGACCTTGGTGTCCTAGAGGCAGATGGCCATGAGGACTTGGCCAGGACCCTAGGGGCCTTGACCAGCAACAGAGATGTGTTGTCATGCTGCATGGGCGTGGTGGTGCATGTCTGTAATCTCAACACTCTGGGAGGCTGAAGCAGGAGGATCTCATGTTCAAGACCAGCCTGGGCAACTTAGTGACTTAGGGAGACCCTGTCTCAAAAAATAAAAAGGCTGGGATATAGCTCAGTGCAAAGACCTGGGTTCAGTCTCTAGTACTGAAAAAGAATAAAGGGTTTCTGGCCTATAGCCCTGACCTGCCTTTCAGGGGCGGCAGCCGCCGTGGACTCGGAAGCCATCTACCAGCACCTCTTCACCAGGCTCCCGTCTGAGCGTTTCTACAGCCCCATGCTGGCCTTCGAGGTCACCCGGTTCTGCCGGAACAACCTTCCCCTGTTCGACCCTCAGCTCCTTGGCCTCCTGAAGCTGAGCTTTCCTAACCTCTTTAAGGTGTGTATGGGTGCCCTCCGTGGCTCGCGCAAACCGGATGCTGGCAGCAGGGTGAGGAGCGGGGTGCAGGAGGTGCTCCACCCACCCCAGAGCGCATCCTGGCGGAGTTTGTGTAGTTCGGCTGTCTGGGGAAGGTCTGCCTGGCACAGTCAGCCTCCAGTGCCAGTCTGTCCTGTTTTCCCACTTTTGACCTCTGAAACCCACTTGGAGATGTACAAAGGGTGATCCAAATACAAGATGAGTGTTTAGACTTAGAAAACAGTTATTGCAGTAAGAGACTGAATGTTGCCATGTATCCCCTCCAGACTTCCTCTGGCTTCCGAGACACTCACCCCACTGTTCTTGCCCCTGAAGCAGCTCTGAAAGGCCTCTTTCCTGAGGTCTTGAGATTGGTCATCAAATATGCGGTGGAAGCCACTGCCGAGCACCGTCCAAAGGAAAGGCAGGCTCATAACACATCACAGTGTGTCGTCCTCCATCTTCGTCACCAGATCTGGCTGGAGCAGACTTCTGGCCCTTCCCCAAAGTCAAAATGACCGTGAAAGTTCATGTTGAATAAATTCAGGATCAAGGCAGCCACAGCAGTGTGACTAAAGACACAAAAGAGGACTCCCAGAATGCTTCCAGAAGTGGCAAGAATGGTGGGATCAGTGTGTCTGAAGCGAGGGAGAAGATTTTAAGAGGGATTAAGAGCAATCCTTCTTCATTGTAATTTTTTAAAAATGTATTTAAAATTCACCTCATTTTGGGGCACGTCTCATTCCTTTTCCTAAAGAAAAAAATAAGAAATGATTGGTTGAACAGTGGTACAGCAGGGGAGAAGCAGCAGAAGTGACTGTGTGGGACGCTGGCCCACAGGAAGTGGACCGATGGCAGACAGGGCTGCCGATGAGGGCCAGGGCTCTGAGCTGCCACACTGTCGCCACAGCTCCTGGCTTGGAACAGCCCTCCCCTCACTGCTGAGTTCGTGGCGCTCCTCCCTGCGCTGGTGGACGCCAGCACAGCCGTGGAGATGCTGCACTCCCTGCTGGACCTGCCCTGCTTGACGGCCGCCCTGGACCTGCATCTCAGGTGGGCTGCTCGCCTGCCTTGTGTGGCCCACAGAGCTGCCCACTGCAGAGCCCACGGCTGAGCCGTCCATCGCCCCGGGGGCTGAGCCCTGCACCCCGCAGCCCGTCTTCACAGGCCCTGCCTTGAGGTCCTCCCCAGCCCTGAGGGCTGACACCACAGTGACACTTCCCTGAGCAGTGGGTCCCTCGGGGCTGGATGCCAGAAGCCGCGTCTCAGTTGGCCCTGGGCCTCTGTCTGCCCACAGATCATCACAGACGCCCTCTGAAAGGCCACTCTGGGACCCCTCCCTCAGGACCCCTGGCTCCCTGGAGGCCTTCCGGGACCCGCAGTTACAGCCGCTCTTCCATTACCTGCTGCGCACCAAGGCCAGCGGCTCCACAGAAAGGTCAGGGCCCTGGGGCTGGAACCACAGGGGTGACTGAGCCAGGCCGCCATCATCTGCGTGGGGCTTGCTGAGGTCTGGGTGCTCAGGACTGTCCCAGCCCAGGCCTGGGAGGAGCTGTGGTCACCTTGTTGGTCTGCTGGGTGCAGTGCTTCTACCCACCCTGAAGGCCTCAGAGCCTGCGCGAACTTTACAGAGGGAAAAACGAGGACACCCAGGAAGTCAGGATGGGAGTGGCACGTGGCCCTGCTCTCAGTGCACAGCCCACACCCGCCTGTCCCCTGGGCACCACAGAGCCCCTTGGAGCATGGGGTCCCCAGTGCAAGTGAGCAGTGCTGCTGAGGGAGACCTCTGATAGCCATGGTGTCCAGCCCCTCCTCTCCTGGTGGCTGTGGGGTCCCAGCTGGGGTGAGCAGGAGGACACTCAGCGGCTGTCTGTGTCCCTAGGCTGGTGCCACTCTACCAGCTGCTGCAGCCCATGGCCGGCTGTGCCCGAGTGGCCCAGTGTGCCCAGGCGGTGCCGACCCTGCTCCAGGCCTTCTTCTCCACTGTGACCCAGGTGAGCTGAGGGCCTCACACTGCCGGGGGCCCTGGCCCAGAGCAGGGACCATGGCACTGCCCTGGATCTCTGCAGAAGGCCAGCTCCACTGTACACTCTGGCTGCCTGAGGGTCAGGGAGACGGGGAAAGGGCTGCACACCACAGCCTCGCCCCCAGGACAGGGGACACAAGCTAGGGCCACGGGAGTGGGTCCCAGCCACTCCACGTTCCTGTGGCCCTGTGGTTCCTGCCTGGCTGCACCTGGGGAGCTTCCCATGCCCCCGTGAGGCTACAGGCCACCACTGGGAAGGCGGCCCGAGCCTCACTGGGGCCACGAGCACCTTTGGACGATTGACACTTCCTGGCTTGCGGAGCCACACGGGGGCGCCACAGAAGAGAAGTGGGACTTGCTTCTCCTCCCGAGCTCCAGGGGGAGTGGCTGGGGAGCTGGATGAGTTTTCTAGCCCTCAGCCACTCCCTCACCCCGTGGTGGCCTCGTGTCCCTGAGGGCTGCAGAAAGTGACACTTGGGGCTAGGTGGGCTGAGAATCTGTCTCGTGCCCTTGACCACCAGGTTGCCGATGGGGCCCTGACCAACCAGCTGGCGCTGCTGGTCCTAGAGAGAAGCGATGCCCTCTACCACGTCCCGCAGTACCAGGCACATGTGCATAGGTGGGTCCTTGCTACTTGCAGCCCAACGCAGGCAGGGACCCTCAGCATTGCCCCTCCCCGCTCCAGGCCCCAGCCCACTGCTCGTTGCACAATCTCTCGTCCTCACCTCCCTGGACCCTGACCTCCAGGCTGGCTTGGGCCCCTTTCCACATGTTCCTGTCCTGTCTGGCCCAAAGACCTGAGCCACACAGGCTTGTCCTTACCCTGTTCCCAACCCGGGACCGAGGACAGCACAGCTTGGCCTTGTCCCCTGCGGAGCAGTGGCCTCCTCGGGCTGGGGCCATCAAGCTGAGCATCAGCCTGCACCCTGCTCGGGCTCTCTGCCTCTCGGAACATGCTCAGACCCATGGCGCCCTCTTGGCAGGGTGCTGAGCTCCCAGTTCCTGGCCCTGTGCAAGCAGAAGCCATCCCTGGTGCTGGAGCTGGCGAGGGAGCTCCTGGAGCTCGTGGGTAGCGTGAGCAACATCCAGAGCAGGGCAGGCATGTTCACCTGTGTGGTAAGCAGCACCAGCCCCTCCTGCCTTCCAAGCAGCAGGACCTGGGCGCACTGAGCCCCTTCCTGACCTAGGTGTGGGCCATCGGCGAGTACCTGTCGGTGACCTGTGATCGGCGATGCACCGTGGAGCTGATCAACAAGTTCTTCGAGGCCCTGGAGGCCCTGCTATTTGAGGTCACCCAGTCTCGTCCCTCAGCCGACCTGCCCTGGTGTCCACCCCAGGTTGTCACCGTGCTCATGACTACGCTGACCAAGCTGGCCTCTCGGAGCCAGGACCTTATCCCCAGGTACGCATTCAGGGAGCAGGGAGAGGGAGGCCCACTCTCCATGGCGAGCTTCTGAGGTCTTCCCTTTGCCCATGTTGTAAAATGGCCTCAGCAGCACATGGGTCCTGGGCAGACACAGCAGCAAGGGCACTGGGAGCTGGGCTCACCAGTGGGCAGTGGGTAGCGATCTGAAGCCAGGGTATCCAGTTGCTTTGAGGGGCTTGGCTCCGTCACAGACCCCTTTCCAAATGAGGGGTGCTGTGAGCTGATGGGCTGGGACTCCCCCGCCTCCCCATCCCCAGGGTCTCTCTGTTCCTGTCAAAGATGAGGACCCTGGGCCAGAACCCAGCCACCAGCTCTGTGTACCGTGAGGAGGATGCGGAAGCTATCCGCACGCGGGCCACAGAGCTGCGGGCCCTGCTCAGGATGCCCAGCGTGGCCCAGTTTGTGCTCTCGCCGAGCGCAGAGGTGTGCCAGCCCCGCTATCACCGTGACACCAACACGGCCCTGCCCCTGGCCCTGCGCACGGTCAGCAGGCTGGTGGAGAGGGAGGCTGGCCTTCTGCCGGGGTAAAGGGACCGTGACCCAGCGGACACCAACAAGTGGGCTGCAGCCTTTGATGAAGGGCTGGGGCTGCCGGCCTGCTGTTAGGTCCCAGCCAGCAGCGTTGGTGATCAGCGAGGAATGGAGGAACAGGGGCCTCCCGGGAGCGGAGAGTGGGCCCACCCCACAGGGACGGATGCCTCAGCCTGGGCTCTTTCCAGCTTCCTGGGCTTTGTCTTCCTTCTAACCCTGTCCCTGAGCCATTCTGCGCTGCACTCCTGGCCTTTCCTCAGGCTGGGTAGAAGCCGATCAGTGTTTCTGGACAGTCCTGGGGCAAGGAGAGATGCAGCAAGAATAAACCTTCAAAATGCTTGTGTAAGGTCAGGTCTCCTCTCTGCCTGCGTCGTGGGGAGACCCAGGGAGCCCAGCGCATGACAGAGCCAGGCACGGTAGGCCAGGCATGGTCTGTCCTTCCCACTCCTTCACCTGTAGGGACCATCCCTGACCCGGAACAGAATGGATCCAGCACTGAGCTGCAGCCCCAGCCCATTCTTTATTTTGAGACAGCGTCTTGACACATCACTAAGTTGCCCAGACTGGGCTGGAACTTTCGATCCTCCTGCCTCAGCCTCCCAGAGTGCTGGGATTACAGGTGTGCTATGTATTGTGAGACAGGTCTCAGCTAAATGGCCCAGGTTGAGCTCTAACTCAGTCCTGCCCCAGCCTCCAGAACAGCTGGGAAGCCAGCGTCCCTGATGATGCAGAAAAAACCCATCTACCGGGCGGGCGGGGAAGGAGGCCGAGGGAGTCTCCCGGGTTATAACTGCCCCCGAGTGGTGTGCAGGTGGGGAGAGCCGAGACGGGCCCTGGGGGGCTGGCTCCAGGCGCTGACTGTGCAGCACAGATGCTGCCGGGCCAAGCGCTTCTCTCTCCAGCAACTTGTGCAGAGGCCCTGCGGACCCTGCCCCGGCACGGGACGATTTGGCCACTAGATGGCGCCATCGCCCGCGAGGCTCGGTCGTGCCCCGCCCCTGTGGCCCTGCACCCACGGCGCCCTGTGGAAGGGCCGGTTGAGGCCGGTAGGGCCTGCACGGTGGCTGGAGTTCTGCGCCTCCCGGCCGGTGGCGTCCAGGACTCCAGCCTGACTGGCCGCACCCGTGTCCTTGCCAGGTGCGCGCTCCGGGAAAGCTCACGTATCCCTGCCCGGCCTGCAAGGTCCTCACCCACCTCCCTACTCCAGCGGGCGCCCTCGTGCCGCTTTGCCCCGGGAGAAGCCACCCCCACAGCAGATGACCACGGAGACGCAGGTGGGGCGTCTCAGTCGAGCGTGTCGCGTTTGTTGTTCGCACCCACAGAGTGGCCTAGCGCGCAGCGCACCTGGAGACTTACGCACATCCCCGTACACGCATGTGTGCCCTGCCCTCTTCCCAGGGACTGTCCCTTCCGCGCTGGGGCGGGGATTCCCAAGGGGTACCACGCGTCCCCAGACGCTTCTTTCTGGCCTCACCGGGCTGGAGGCGAGACCGCCTGGGCCCCCCGCCTCGCAGGTGTTGGCAGGGGCACACGCTCTGCTGATTGTTCATTCAGCACCATTGTCAGATCGTTCACGTCAGTGCTGCTCTCCAAACACGGCGCAGACATGGCGCTTATCCTTGAGATTTGCCCTGATGGTCAAAAAGCAATGGTGGGTAGCATCCACCTGTGCCAGTCTGTCCACCCCCACACGTGCACAGCTTCACAGTGTGCACCTCACTTGCTGTGTCCTTGCGGAAACAGCGAGAAGTACTGGCTTAAAATAGAAGCCCTGGCTTCCCAGAGCAGGGATCCTTGGGGCCAGGGGCAGGGGCTTTGGGCTGTGAGCTGAAGCTCTCACTTTTGAGAGCAGACACCACTTTCATTTTAAAGAGTGACAGGCTGTCCAGATGGCCATTTGGCAGGTATCTGGTAGGAAATGAATAAAGTAACTTCCCAGAAAATAATCGAGAATCTTCTTTGCCAGTGAGAAAATCTGAGTTCTCAAAGTGAAAAGTTGGAATGTTGAAGATTGGGTATCTGGTTTTTTAAACTTCCCTATCAAAAAGCGACAGTAGTGATTTCTAAAAATACTGTATGAAATAATGTTCGAAATTCATGTCTCTTAATTTTTCCATTTTTTTAATCTCTGGGTTTAATTCTGACTAAATCATTCAGACTTTTTTTTTTTAACCAATTCACTAATCCTCTCCTTCTGAACCTAATTACCAGTTTAACACTTCACTGATTCCTAAAATTTCAGTGACTGGACTGTAGTGAAGGTTGCACAACTATATACTAACCACAGTTGTTCAATTTAAGTTGGCACATTATATGGTGGGTGAATTGTATGCCAGTAAAACTGCTGCCAGTTTTCAATAAGCAGTTTTCACTTCTAGAAGTTCTGGTTGATTTAGTCGTCCTCATGTATGAAACTGAATTCATCATGACCCTTAAAGCATGGCCTACTCTGTTTCTGTTGTTCTGGTTCATGTTTGTTTTGTTTTCTGATGCTGAGGTTCAAACCCAGTACTGCTCGCAGACTCAGCGTTCTACACTGAGCCACACTCCTGGCCCTCAGCACTCATCTTTGATATTTCCAGAGCTCTCTTCTGTCTTCGTTAATTAGCAGGTAAAACAATAACCATGATGAACCTGCCACCCCGTCTCAGGAAGCCTGGTGACCACACATCTGCCCGCGTGCTTCTGCCTTCCCTTCCCCTGCTCCCCTTCCAAATCCTGAGTCATTGTCCTGAAGGGCTTTCTTGGAGTCCCCCCTCCCACACAAACAGGGACCTCTCAAGATACAGTGTTCCCTTTGATTTCTTTAGCATTGTAAAATTGCATCACACTGCAGTCAGCCTTTGAGGCCCGATTTTCTTTCTATTCAGGTGCCCTGTCGACACACTTGATCCATGGCATCCAGGTGGCTGGTCTACCAGTCGGAGCTGATGGCAGCCGGATCCAGGCCGCCAGCACCTGGTGTCTGCCTCCGGGAGAGAACCTCCGAGCTGATGCCCCTGCTTCTGTCTGGGCCTCTCATGTGGCACAAAGTAATCCTATTGCTCCCACCTCTCTAATAATAGATCCTTATCTCACCTAGACTAAAATCCAAAGTCCCCAAAACAGTCACTGGCTGCCTGTGACCTGGGCCCCAGCCTGACCTGACTGCTTCAGCCACACCAGTCTCCCGTGTTCCGGGCATGAGAGCTCCAGCCTAATGCCTGTGCCTGTTGCTCCTAGTAGAAGTGCTGTCCCCTGAATAACCATACAGCTGTCCCTCACTTAGACCCTGCAGGTGACTGATGAGATGACTATTACCGAGGCCTGCCAAGTGCTGTATATTAAATGACACCCACATGCCTCCATCTCCACCTGCTTGCCCCTGCCTCATCTGGTCCACACTGATTCTCCTCTGCAGCACTGAGCACTGACACGGTCTGTATTAATCTATTATTGTCAGGCTAGAAAAATTAGAATTGAAGTTCCAAGAGGTCCAGGAAGGACACTGTCTCTTGTTCATTCATATGTCCTAATTGATTTCTGTCATATATTACTGGGAGATTTAAGCTAAGGCCTCCTCTTATCATAGTGGATTCAATCCCTGTCTTCATCTGGTTTTTGCTTTATGTACTTTGAGAAAATGTTATTAGGTGCATCTAAGTTGAAAATTTTCATCTTCCTGGTGAACTGAACTTTTAATTACTTTGTACATCTGATACATTGTTGTCCATCCTTTTAGCATTAACTTTTATAGATTCTTAACATTTTACTTTTTTTTTTGGTACTGGGGATTGAACTCGGGTCCTTGCACTTGCATGGCAGGCGGTGGAACCACTGAGCTAAATCCCTGGACCTCTTACATTTTACTTTTATCTCATAAATATGTAGAATTTTATCTAGCTTGATAATTTTTTTGTCTTTTAACATTAAAGTCCATTTACATATAGTTTGATTAGTGATAATGTTGGATAAATTTCCACTATCTTATTTAGTGCTACTTGCGCTTATGAGGCAGGCGCAGCACCACTGAACTAAATCCCTAGCCCTCTGTGTTTTTTGAGGGGCTTTCTCCCTTTCAGCCTTTGGGTTTTTGTTTTTCTTACTATGTCATGTTACCCCTCTCTTAGTTTGAAAACTGGATACTCTTTCTAGTCTTCTAGTGGCTACACTTGAGATGTCAACACCCGTTAACAAAGTCTAAAGCTAATCAGTATCATTAATGTCCCTTAAGATAATGCAAGAACCTCACATTTTCCCCGATCACACCCCCTTCTGGCTCACATGCAATTAGTGACATGAACTGCCCCTCTGCCTTTACACTTAGAGCCTTCCAAGTTAGAGCTACTGTTGCTTTACGTCGTGGTTTAATATTTCTTTACATCCCTTTATTTGCTTACCATCTACTCCTACATCTCAGACCTTCTATTAGACATACTTCTCCCCCTTGAAATACAACTTTTGCACATCTCTTTGGTCTCTTTGAGTAGTAAATTCTCTCATTTTGCTTGTCTGAAAAATATTTTAAATTTATCCTTATTCTTGAACGACTGGACTGAGTTTCCTGGGCCTCTGAAGAGACCATACTGCTTGCTGGCCCCACCTCTGCCCCCCAGGCTGGTGTCCTGCTGAGATGTCTCTTTGAGCTCTAGCCTGTTCTCCAAAGCTGCCCAATCGCCTGTCTCTGGGTTCTGTAGTCTCACCATAATGCCCTTAAGTGTGTATTTCATTTGACTAATCCTGCCATTCATTGATCATCCTGAACTTGAGGATTTGGGTCTTTTATCAATTCTGGAAATTCTTGGCCATTATCTTTTTAAATACTGCTCCTTTCAGACCCCCAACTAATGTAAGTTGCATCTTGTTCTGTGTCTCTTAACCTTTAATTTTCATGTTTTCTGGCAAACTTTCCATACTGTGTTATAAAGAATTTCAACACCCTCTTCCAATTCATTATCTTTTCATCTATCCAAATTAATCTTTGATTTTGGGGATTGAACCCAGGATCTACACTGAGCTACATTTGCAGCCCCTTTTGTTTTCTGAGACAGAGTCTCACTAAGTTGCCCAGGCTGGCCTTGAACTTGCGATCCTCCTGCCTCAGCCTCCCAAGTAGTCCATCTACCAAAGCATCACAAATGCACAACTGGCTGTGGTTTCAGGGCTGGTAGCACGTACTAAGCCACTTGAGGGTTCGAGACTGGCTGTGTGACTTGTTTGGCCAGCAGGGCACCGAGAGGTGACAGAAGGCAGGAGTGTGCTGCTGGCTCAGCTTGGCCCCTGCATGTGTGCTGTTCCTATAAGACCAGGCCATGGCTGGTCTGTGGGACCAAGGAGGCAGGAGAGCTCACTGCTGGCTGCAGTTGGCCACACCTGTGGCACCAGCTGTGCAGAGCTGAGTGGGGATATAAATGGTTTGGCTTTAAGACTCAATCCTCTGACTTACCCCAGAGCACTATGGCACTGGATGGCTGCCATATAAAATGAGGCTCTTTGCTTTAGTCCCCTCATCTGGAAACTGTCTCTGGAAACTGTCCACGTGCGTTCAAAGGGCCTGGCATGTAATAAATAAGCTCTACATACTACCGTGGTTATTCATCTATACCCTAGCCCTTTGTCCGGCCATCCAGGAGCTCTGGCTAACTGGGGTCCCCGAATAAAGTCTGCCTGCTAGCTTGGGAAGATTAGGACTTTGCCTTCTCTACATGCCAGGCCACTGTCACCAAAGCAGAGTCGTGAAGGCCTGGGACCAGCAACCTGCCACCCTAGGTGCAGCCTCTCTGAACTTGGCCCCTCATTTCAGTTTTGGGCTTTAAAGATTTTCTTTCTTTTAGGCCCAGCCATGCATTTAAAATGATTTTTTAAAATATACTTTACCCAACATTTTAGGCAGCCACTAGTTCAAGGCGAGTGGTGGCAGCACTGGCAAAGGGCCTAGGGCAGATGCACTGTACCTCCCTGTAGGGTTCACCAGGGGGCAGCACAGAGCTGATGAGGCTGCAACTGGGGCCCACCCAGGACCCTGCTCCAGGGCACTGGGCCCTCCAGGCGATCCCCTGTTCAGCTGAGGGGTCCTCTGCAGCTGACAGGCAGGGACTCCCACTAGTCCCTGTCTCCAGGGTCTCTGTTCCTATCCAGGCCACCAGCTTTGTGCACAGAGAGGAAGACACAGAAGTCCCCTATACCCAGGCCATGAAGCTGCAGAACCCACTTAAGATGCCCAGTGTATCCTAGTCTGTGCCAGCCCTGCTGTCCCCATGATGCCAACAGGGCCCTGCTCCAGCCCTGCACCGTCAGCTGGTGGGTGGAGGAAGCTGGCAGCCTGCCAGGGTGAAGGGACAGTGACCAGGTAGATGATAGCCACAGATTAAGTGCCTGGTATTAGGGCCAAGCTACTGGCTTTGGTGATCAGAGAGAAGGGTGGGGGAGCTGGGCACAGGACGCTGTGGCCCTTGGGACACTGCAGCTCAGCCAGTCCCTTTCCATGCTCTGGGTACATGCCATGCCGAGCAAGACCACGAGAAGATGGGAGCTGTCCTGCTTGGTGGCCCTGCCCTGCTGGCTGAAAGGGAGCTGTGGTCTGCTTCCTGCCTCTGGGCAAGGAGGAGACAGGGCCACCCAGGGCTCCCACCATGCTGGCAGGGAGGGAGGGCTGCGCAGGGCCACGGATACACCAGGCAAAAATGGCAGAGCCCACTGCTGCCCCCAGGAGGATAGCAAAGATAGTTTATTGAATCTATACTTCTCTGTTAAAGTCTTTAAACATAAAAACTCTGTAAGAAACATAACCACTTAGTGTCATCTGTCATATAAATAAAATATACACTGAGATGTACATTATGAACAGGTGTGTCCTGGTGGGGCCACCACACAGGAACTCACTGGATGACAGACAGCTTGAAGGAACTGGGGCGCCTGGCGGACCAAGGTGCTGGAGTAGAGGCGCATCCTGCAGCCCCACCTAGGGCGGGGGCATGTGGTAGCGGATTTTCTTGGCTGTTTCCACATCAGACTTGGCAACCAAAAACCGCATCTTCTTGCCCCCATGTCGGATCAGATCCACGGCTCTGAAACCAACCAAGGGGAGAGGGTGGTACAGAGGCCCTGGCCTCCGTGCAGCTCAGGCCAAGGCAAATCAGACTCCCTCTTGCTCAGGGAGCCCGTGGGACAAGGTGAGCCCCGCCCTCTGCCCTCTGAGGGTGCCCAGGAGGGTCGGGAGGCAGTGGTACCTCATGTAGCTGATACCCATCAGGCTGATGCTGTTCACCTCCAGGATTCGGTCTCCCAGTGATAGCCGCCCATCGGCCGCTGCAGGGCTTCCTGGAACCAGGGTCTGGATGTAGAGCCCAGGGGAGCCCAGAGGCGTGTGCTGGAGAGAAGCAGAGGACGCTGACACCTGCTGTCCCAGCAAGGACTTACAGCCCCTCCCTCAGCACCCGAAGTCCCCAAGCCCAGCATGGACTGTTTATTCAGTACAGGTGTCCAGTGTTGAGCAAGAACTGGGCCCAGCACTGCCCCCAGAGGCTAGGATAGATCTTGAAGCCTGGGCAAGCAAGCAAGGCAGCTGTAGGCCCGGAAGACGCTCCATAGCCGCAACCTTCTCCACATTCCTTCCCCGGCCAGGCCATGGCCACGGCCAGCTGGCCGCACAAGCTGTGACCAGACTGGACAGGAAGGGCAGTGGCAGCCTGAGGCTTTGGGGTGGGCAGGGGTGGGCAGGGGAGGCCCGGGCCGCTCACCATGCCGTCGATAAGGCCCATACCCAGCCCCAGGGGGCCTCGCTCCAGCTCCACAGAGAAGATGTAGCAGAAGTCCTCAGTGCTGGAGCTGCCACTTGAGGGGTCTAGAGGGGACTCGTCCACGGGGGCCACTGTGTCTCCTGGGTGGGAAAGGAGGGGTGCAGAGGCATGAGGGGTCCACAGGGCTGGAGACCAGCACCCACCCCAGGAAGTCAGGACACAGGAGGGCAGAGTGTGGGAGCAGCTGGTGTGTGGGTTGGGTCCACCTGTTGGCCACACACAATATGCCTGCAAGGGGGACCTCGTCCCGCCCCACAGCTGCGCCAGGACAGTGGCCTCCTATGCTCCTGTGTGTTTCAGCAGAGCCTCCCAGGCCTCTTTACTTCGGTCCCGTCTTCCTCCCCCCTCCACACCCTCCATGTGGCTCCAAGTTTGCCCTTCCTGAGGGCCCCAAGTTGACCAGACCCTGTCTGGAACCCAGCCATGCCCACCCTGAGGGCCACAGGCTTGGCCTTCCCTTTCTGACTCACTCATGCCCACTGGGTCCCTGGTCAGGGTAGAGCCAGGGCCTGGTCTGGAGCACACCTGTGCAGGCAGCTGCCCCAGCCAGGCTCTGCCAGAGGACCCCAGTGCTCAGGGACCCCTAAACTCAGCCTGAGCATAGAGGACCCTGTTCTAAGCTCCTCCCTGGGGGCCCGCTATGGATACACACAGAGGCATCTGCTTACAGACACTTAGGCCCACACATGCCTCCCTCCGTCTCCTCCCAGAAGCTTTCTGGCCCACAAGTGCACATCTCCTAGACCTGCGAGACCTGTCCCCTACCTGGTATGGAGGCCACTGTGAGTCCCTGGGTCACTGTGGGCACCCAGGGCCAAGGCCTCCCTTTCCTCCCCCTCTGAACTCCATTGTCCCCGCACTGGGGGAAGGTTCCAGATACCTAGGACCCCAAGATGGGAACACCCCAAGACAATGGGCAGGGTCTGAAGGGTTGGGCATGCGTGGGGATGCGCCTCACCTTCTAGAACTGCACCCAGGGAGTCCAGCCCATTCCTCTGCCCTTTGGGGAGTATCTTTCCACAGGGGCCTCTGGGCTCAGACCAGCTGGGGCCCCCAGGCTTGAGCCCCAGTGGGGTGCCTGGGGGCGTGAGCAGGCAGGAAGAATCTGTGTGCAGGAGGCCGGCCTGGGAGCCCCTGTGGCCCCCTCGGTTGGGATGCTGTCCCTCTGGGGGCTCTTGTGCCCTGGGAGCCCCAGCACCAGGAACGGAGTGTGCAGGAGTAGCTTTGAGAGGTCCTCCGCTGGGGTCCCTGGCAGCCAGGGGGCAGCCCTGGCCCTCTGGGTGCCCCTCAGGGACGGTATGATACAGGCCCTGGGGGGAAGAAGTAGAGAGGCAGTGAGGAGGGTGGGCCAGGGGGATGGTGCCCCTTGGGAAGAGACAGGGCCCCAGGGCTACCAGGCAAAGGGTATTTGCTAGTCTGCACCATGCAAAATGCAGGAGGACCCAGGGGGCGTGCCCGGGTCTACAGCCTTGGGCTGCGCTCACTCATGCTGGCCTGTGCTTGGCTGCACCCTATGCCACATGACAGCTATGGGACCCGGCTCCCTACCCCAGCTTCTGGCCCCTACCTCAAGGCTGGCCAGCTGCATGGGCCCACCACGGCCAGGACTGGCTGGGCCACGCAGCCCCCACAGGAAGTTGCGGATGTAGAGCAGGTGCTGGTAGATGCTGTCATCTGGGCAATCGGCCTCCAGGTCCACCTGAAAGCCCTCGCTGGGCAGGACGATGGGCGGGGGCTTTTCATAGGACTCCAGGACATGCTCTGCGGTGGAGCGAGTAAGGGGGTGTCGCTGGCACCCCCCCCAGGCCCCACTTGGCATGTGGGGTCTGAACCAACAGGCTGAGCTCCAGGCCTGACCCACCCAGGCCACAGGAGATGGGATCCCACCTGGGCGACCACCCCAGCCCGGCTCTGAGCCCTTCTCCACCCAGTAGGTAGGGTGTCCAAGCTCCCCGGGATGAGGACCAGGCTTCGAAACCTGGAACTCTCGGCATATCCCATGCAGCCACTGTGAGCAGATCACCTGACTGAGCCAGGCGAGCTCCCGGGCACTGAGAGGCCAGGAGGTGAGCCTGTCCCTACCCAGGTGGCCAGGATCATAAGACTATGTGCACACAAGGTTCTGTCCACTAAAGCACCGCAGCACCTCTTAGGTGGCAGGGACCCCGGAGGTGACATGCCTGCTGAGCTCCCAGCTCAGAGCAGGATGTGTGTAGGCCTCAGGCACCAATGGATGAATAGAGAAGGGCTGGGGGCAGAAGCATCTCCCACCCCCTTCATGTGTTTTGTTTATGTACTGCACTGTGCACGGTGCCCATGGAGGAGGCGGGTGTGTAATCTGTAGATAAAGATGTGCATGTACATATCCGTGAGTAACTGCACAGCATGCAGCCCAAGGCTCCATGAGGACAAGGGGGACCTCAGACCCGAGCTGGGGCTGGGAGCTGGGCATGGACTTGTAGGGCAGGGCAGGCCCCAGGTGCGGGGGGGCCCACACTCCCCTCTGAGGGGCAGGTACCTCCACTGTGTGGCCGCCCTCAGCCTGGGGACAGTGGTCCCACCCGGTCCTCAGCCCCCTGGCTCCTGCCCCTGGCAGCCTCACCTGACTGGAAGGCATCGGGACAGTCCTGGGGTCCAGGCTCCCAGGCGCTCATGGGGCCCATGGCCGAGGCCAGCTGGTACTGGGTCAGCAGCCGGTGCAGCTGCGCAGGGCTCAGGGCAGGGAACGTGGCCCGCAGGGTGGCCCAGCTCATCTGGAGGTGAGGAGGAGCTGGGTCAGAGGCCTCGAAGTGCACAGCGTGCCCAGCACAGCCCCCTCCCAGGGAGGGTCAGGCACAGGGCAGGGATCCCCGGGGAACACACGGCCCTAGGGCTTGCATGAGGTCAGCCAGGGGACAGCACCAAGGTCACCAACCCAGGCATTCCCATCACCAGCCAGGAACTGGGAGGGTCAGGGGCTGAAATCGGATCCCCAACTCACACAACGTGAAAGAAATCAAGCGGGCTGGAGATGCACGGAAAAGGCAGACGGTCCGAAGTGGGACTGACCGGCTGTAGGAGCTCAGGGTAAGCACAACCTTTTTCCTTCTGTTTTGTCATACTGGGGGTTGAACCCAGGACCTGCACGCTGAGCTATGTCTGCAGTCTTTTTGCTGATGGGCAGTTGCTGCGGACCCCTTCTCTGGTCTCACGCTGGGCTCCTCCTTTCCTTCCCAGGGCCTATTCCTCTTGCTGTTTGTCCCTCACTGCAGGGGCAGGCCCTCCAGCCTCATGACAAGGCACAGGTCGGGCACTGCCACCCACGTGCTGGGGCATGGACGTCCTCCTATCCCAGTGGATGAGCTGGGCTGGGTGCTGGGGATTCTGGGGGCAGCTCCTTGGCATGCAGACTCCGGCTCAGGTGGCTCCTCTCTGGGTCAGGTCTCACTTCCACCCTGCTCTGCAGGGTATTCTGCAATGCTGTCTAGGTCAGGTCCCTCCCTGTCCCTGAGCTGCCTCCTCACTGCCCCAGCTGGTTGGGTCGTTATCTGGACGCTGCTGCTGGATGCAGCCTCCTGACTGCTCCTTCGGCTTGCTGTCCTTTCTTTCCCTCTTGCTTGCTTTTCCCACTGACGTGCGGAGGCCTGGGCAGTGGTCATCACATCTACACTGCAGGTATCTCATGCTGCTGACCCCAGGAGTCCATATTCCCGCTGAGGCCTCCAGCCCTCACCCTCATGCCGGGGGTGAGGGGCCTTTGGGGGGATTTTTTTTTTTTGGTACTGGGGATCAAACTTGGGTCCTTGTGCTTGCGCCTCAGGCGGCGGAACCACTGAGCTAAATCCCAGGCCCATGGGAGGATCTTTTTGATGCTGTGAGTTCCTGGCCTTTCTGCTCTGCTCTCTGGATTTCCTTGGCTTTATCTTCCAGCTGTGCCTTTGAGCTTTTCCCTTCTGCCTTCAGTTTTAATTCCCAACAATCTCCATTTTTTTGTATTTACAGACTCATTTATGACTTCTCTTTATTTTTATCAGGATAATTTTGTAATAGAGTTTCCTCTCCTTGAATAATCTGTCAGGGGTACTCAGCTATGGCCAGAAGCCATAGCATCCTCAAGCTAAAAACAGTATTTATTTTTGTTTTTTGGTCGCCCTCCCACTGAGCCACATCCCCAGCCCTCTTTTTGTGTCCAGACAGGGTCTCACTGAGTTGCTGAGTCGCCCAGCAGGCTGGGGTAGAACTTGAGATCCTCCAGCCTCAGCCTTCGGAGCAGCTGGGATTACAGGTATGCCCTACCATGACCAGCCACAGAAGAAAAGAGTCAATCTCTTTAATGCATAGGACACTCCGATTTTTATTTCCTCTTGTACTAGTTTTAATTAATACTCATTTCCTTATTTGTTCAATCAATCTAAATTGTCAAATTTATCAGCATAAACTTATTACAGTAATTACAATATCCTCTTCCTACTAATTTTCAATGTAGACTGAGTGGTCTCTCCTTTTTCATTAATACTAGCAGTTTGTGTTTTCTCTTACTTCTTTTTTTTTCCTTCGGTACCAGGGATCAAACTCAGGACCTTGTGCTTACCAGGCAGGTGCTGTGCCACTGAGCTAAATCCCTGACCCTTCTCCCGTTTCTTTATTAAAGGTTACAAAGCACCAACTCATGGTTTTATTGCTTTTCTCTATCACAGTGCCACTGTTTCTCTGACTGTTGCTTTTGTCCCTTCTGCTTTCTGTGGACTGCTTTCTTGCTTCCTGATCAGGCATCCTCGCTTGTTTTCCACTGAGCACTGCTTTACCTTTGGCCCACGGGGCTCGGGGTTCTGTGGCTTTGCAGTTTGACCACCCTGACACAGAGGGGTGAGCATGCCGGGCCCGGCCAGCAGCTGGCGGGGCTCAGTTCCAACAGGGAGCCTGGTGACCATGTTTGAGGGCTCCTGTGTGAAAATCCTAATCTCCTTAGCACTGTGACACTGTCCCGATGGGGTCACAAGGCTGCCTGCCAGCAGAGGCTGCAAGGACTTTGTGAGACAGGAAGCAAGGCCTGTGGCACGCTGCAGGCTCACAGTGGCCTTGTGCACACGGGCTCAGCAGTGGCCACTGTGCACACGGACAGGACATGCAGGCAAGACGTTGTGCCCCAGTCCTCAGTCAGCAGGCCTTACTCTCCCTGCTAAGCTGGCTGCACCACAGTCTGCTTGGGCATGGTGCCGCACTGCACAACTCAGTACAGCTCAGAGAGTGAGTATCATCGTGAGCTGCTCTGTGGGTGCCACTGGCAGCCTGGAGCTTGTCCAGTGTTTTCCAGGCAGTAAAAGAAGCCCTCAGTTGGATTTCCATCATTATATGTGATGACATTTTCAGGGGATGGTGGCTGGCGGGCGGTGGGGGAGGACAAGGTATGCGTGATTTCCTGTCGCTGGAACAGATGCCCACACACCTGTGGTTAGAGCCTCAAGTGTGTGACCCCACAGGGCTACGGCTCCCAAGGCAGCAGGCTCTGTGGTGGAAATCAAGGTGTCCACAGCATGGCATGTCCTTGGGCTCTGTGGGAGGATCCACCTCCTGCCCTTCTGGGTCCCTTCCTGTGGCTGAAATCACATTTCTGTGCTGGCTGCCAGCTGGGCTCCTGGACTCCCAGCCCTGCCATCTTCAGAGCTGGCCACCAGGCAAGTCCCTCTTCTCCTGCCCTCCATCCCTGGCTCACTCTGTGGACCTGCTTTATTAGCCTGGGCCCGTCTGCATGACCCAGGGCCACTTCCTCATCTCAAGATTCCTAATCTTATCACATCTGCAGAGTCCCCTTTGCCATGTGCAGTGACAGTCACAAGGCCCATGGACTGGACACAGACACTTCTGGGGCCATTACCCTGCCAACTGCAAGTAGGGACAGTTCTGCAAACTTTCAAGGAAACTGAGTTTTCTGGGCCCAGAAAGCAAGGTTCCCTGCCACCCTTGACACAGTCTGTAAGCCCAAGGCACTACCATGTGGCCCCAGAGCTCCCATGCTACTGTGACTCCCCCACCTGGACAAGCTGGGCACTGGGGGTGGCCAGCAGGTGCAGGGTGCAGGACAGCTTCCGGAAGAAGTGCTCCCCGGACACCCCCAGGCCGGCGCTCCTCGCCCACTCCAGGAGCTGCTGCAGGCGGGCACAGGCCTGGACACCTCTGGGCCAGTGGAAGCAACTCAGGGAGGGGCCTGAGGAAGGGATGGGAGAGGGAGGATGATGCAGGCCCCTGCGCGGGAACCCACACCAGGCTCCTCAGAGCCTGCTCTCCCCTCCCAGGCCACCGAGGACGGCAGAGCTGCAGCACACCTGAGAGAGACGCTGCCCCAGCTTCCCAGGCCCTGTCCGGGTGGGGGGCTGGAGGCAGGGCACCGGGCAGGACAGGCTGTGACAGCTCGGGCTCCAGAGTGCAGGCCTCAGCACACACACCTCACCCCAGTGCCACTTCACATGTGCTATGGACACTTCTCTGTCCCCAGCAGTGGCCCTGGCTGGAGGTAACTGTGCTCCAAGGCCAGCATGGGCAGAGGACATCAGCTTAGCAAGGCAAGGTCTGAGGGTAGAGCCTTGGCAGCAGCACAGACTTAGTCCCCTCTGGGCACACCTCCTTCCCTGGCCTCAGCCTGCCACCTGCCCACAGCACCACAGCCAGCCCCAGCCCCAGCCCCAGCCCGGCCAGGGCAAAGCAGAGCGTCCCTCAGGAGCCACACAGCCCTGGCCTCATGCAGCCGCACTCACCCCTGTCCAGCAGCTGGTTGAGCAGCAGTGTGCCTGAGAAAAAGAAGAGGTAGGCGAGCATTTGGGAGGCCACCTCAGGGTGCACCTGAAGCTGTCGCAGGAGATCCAGGGCGGCCTGGTACACAGCCACGACTCGGTGCAGCTCCTCAGGCAGCGCGGGCCCTCCGCGCCAGCTCTCCTGGTGCTCTGGCTGGAATGGGGGGCACTCCAGGAGGGCAGGGAGGCAGACGTACAGGCACTGTAGGGCGAAGAGACCCCCAACAACACTTTAGGGGCATTGGGAACAGGCTGAAGACCCCACCTAACAAGCCCCGGCCCTGCCTTGGCAGGACAGCCTGTGGAACAGGCCCTGAGGGAGCCCAGTCAGGCACAGTGGGCTCAGCTCCACTGGCCTCGCCCATCACATGGCTCGTGTTCCTGTTAGAGGCAATGCATAAAGGTGGGGCTGGTGGGATGGGTCCCAACAAGGGGGCTGGAAACACCCTGTGGAGACTGGGAAAGGGGTGCCCCATGTTCCCAAAGCACCGCAGGTGGCTCAGGACAAAGGACCAGCACAAGCTGGTGTGGAGGTGGCAGCAGTACAGCATCCCATGTGCCCCACACAAGACTTCTCAAGAGAAGAGAAGGGCCAGATGGTGCCCGGGTTGCCAGGTGAGAAGGGTAACCTGGGGGAGGGGGGTGTGAGGGAGCACATCCAGGTCCCTGGAAGAGCGTCGCACCTTGGAGAGGTAGTACACGCACTGCTGGAAGGCATAGAGCACCACCTCCTCCAGCACCGCCATGGCCTCTTCACTGGCCGTCAGTGTGCAAGAGAACACCGACTCCTTGGAGCCTGCAGGGGGATGGCCACTGGGTGTCACTGGGCTCCGTGCTCACGGACTCCCTCCTGGAGTGCCCCCGTTCCAGATGGAGCACAGCAAAGAGCAGGGACCCGACCCAGCCTCTGCCCAGCCCTCTCCTCAGTGCTCCACCCACGCGCCCACATGGGCTTGAGTGTGTGAAAAGCCAGCCTCAGAACTCACCATGCTCAACCTGAACCTGCCACCACCCTGCCCAGGGATAGCACGGAGGAAACCCTCATAGCCTACACGCCCACCCTAGCCCCCAGGGACTGCTGCCCCAACATCTTCATCGTCTTGTGGAAGCCAGATGTGTGGGGGCCCTCACCTGTACTGGCTCATCTGAGGCAGGCGCCTGACTGCAGCTGCCCCTGAGCTGCAGGTTATCTGAGCATCCAGAGCCACGTGTTCCCAGGGACAGAACAGAGCTGGCAGGAAGCGGGCAGTGAGGCCACAGGTGGCAGGGTGAAGCCCTGGAGCAGGCTCCCCTACACACCACACAGGGCCAGATGTCCCGGGGGACCACTTAAGCTGCTTTTCCTGTGGGAACCTCTGCAAGGATCCAGAGCCCCAGGACTGGGTGCCCCACCCACTGCACATCCAGGTGCTGAGCTGTAGGCAGAGTGTGTGGGATCCTGAGTGGATGCCATGTGGCCATGTCCCTGACAGCACAGTGGGGGCCCTGGGTAAGAGCTTGGACATAGAATCAGGTTGATAAAAGTGATTGTCCCAGCTCTCAGGACATGATATGCCTGATGACAGGATCTGTCCCACAGCCATTTCCTGCACAAGTTCAGCACCCTGACCTGTGGCCCCTGATGCTGCCTGGTGGTCAGGTTGGTGTGACCTCTCCTGAGTCAGATCCTGGGCTGAGTCTCCCAGGTCCAGCTTGAGCACAGCCCTGGGCTCAGTGTCCCAGCTCCCAGGCCCGACAGACCAGAAATAGCTTCCTCCCTGAAATGGAGGCGATGGTACCACAACCCATGCAGCTGGGAGAGGGTCCCTGGACCAGACTGCAACTCTGAGCACTGGCCTAGAGAGCCACACAGTGGGACCTCTGGAGTCACGCAGGTGGGTGAGCTAGCTCCTGAGCCAACTGTCCCCAGGAGCCAGAACAAAAGGACCCTCCCTGTCCAGAGCCCCCAGCCCTACCACACAGCACAAGGAGGGCAGCACCCCCTCCCCGAGAAGTTGGGAGGAGACACAGGCCTTAGAGGAAGAGAAAGAAGCAGGAATCAAATGGGACAGGGAGCAATGGCAGTCGGACACCAGAACTGAGTGAGGCATGGGGCAGGTGAGGTCATGCTCTGGAGACCTAAGCCAGGTAGAGGACACTCCTCTCTAGCAGTCAAACTGGCTGCTCTTCATGTACACCCAAGGGTACAAGGGACAGGCCATGGCCTGGAATGCCCCAGGGGCACAGAAGGGCCCATGCTGGTGGCCTAGCTTCCCTCCACACACCCACAGTGGCTGCTGTCCCGAGGCCCTGGAGCCCACGGAGAGGCCCACCTTCCCCACTGTGAGCTAGAGGGCAGGGAAATGGTCCATGGTCCCTTCTGGTCTCAGCAGCCAGCTCAGCTCCAGGCCCCTGAAGCAGATAGGAGCCTGTCCTGAAGGTGGTACCACAGATGCCCCAATCCCACCCAACGCCATCAAGAGCCCTGCTCTCAGGACAGCTGCCCATGAGGTGCCAGAGACCCCATAGGGTCCAGAACCACAAAGTGCGGCCTGCCAGGCCCAGGCTGGCTTTGGATCCTGGGGTCTCTTTCTGCTGGAGCCCAAGCTGCTTCCCAGGGGACAGCAATATCTGGTGGACACAGCCAGGGAGACAGGCCTCGGCTGACCCCACCATGGCCGGGGCCCTCAGAAACAGGGCTACCAAGCCACCCCCGCTCGGCCCCCCAAGGCACCCCAGCCAGGCCCGAGCAGCCTAGAGCTCCACAGATGTGAAGGCAGTGAGCACCTCTGTTTCAGCCACAGCCGGACACAGCTGTGTGGGACACCACCAGGGCCACCCACCAAGGCTCTGTCCTGGGACCCAGGTTCCTGTCAGCACACTGGTCCTACTGCAGGTGCTGTGCGTGCCAGCTCTATCAGAGCCTCCCAGATCAGCTCCAGCCCCACATGGCCATCAGCAGACATACGTCAGGTAAAGTCTACTTGTACCCACGGCCTGGCTCCACCCACCCCACAGAGCCCCCAGACTCCCCACCAGAAACCACCTCTCAGCTGGTGTTCACAGAACACTTCTACTCTACTTCCTAGACCCTAAAGTGCACATTTCCCATGTTAACCTCTAAACATGACTCAGTCTACAACTGTGCAACCTTTTTGTGCCTCTCTGAGCTGGCATTTGGTTTATGATGTACCCGTCTTTCCCCGGCCTAAGGTCCTCTGTGTCCTCAGCCTGCTGTAAGGAGAACTGAGCCAGCTGCAGGCAAGGTGCCTCTGTGGCACAGAGCACCCATGTGCTGCACACAGAGGCACCAGGTCAGCCCAGACTGCCAGCTCTGGTCTCAGAGGCTGCCCCTAAATCACTGCTTGCATTGAGCCTGGCACCAAGGAAGCCCCGACAGGAATCCAACCCTCCTGTCACAGCCGGCCAACTGTGCCTGAGGACGGCACCCTACTAGAGTGTGCCAACACAGGCCCTACCTGTGACATCCAGCTCCTCTTCCATGCTCTGCATGTAGAGCGGGCATTTCTGCTGGATGAAATACAGGAGCTCAATGGAGTTAGACATCCAGAAAAGGATGTGCTGCAGGTCTGGAACTAGGTCGGCCATGGTGAAGCTGGCCCAGGAGATGGGTTCCTGGCTACCGAGACAGAAAGACTCAGTTATGCTTGGTCCACGAGCCGGGGGGCTCAGTCTGCAGCTCTGTCCTGGAAGAAAGTTAGTTCCCATGGAACAGGAACAAAAACAACTACTGTTATCACCCACCACATTAGGCTGGAAGTTAGGAATTATGTACACACCCACTTGGTACGTGCCCACAAGACATCAGAGGCTCTGACAAGCCTAGCAAGAAGGAGAGCCAGACGCGAAGGAATGGATTCTGGTAAATGAACTGCTTCCATAGCTTCTCTTTGGAAATTAGATAATAAAGCGGCTGCAGATGCAAGAAGAGAGCATGTGTGCACATGCATGTGAGTGCATGCATAAGGAAGGGAGTGAGGTCTATAGCTTTTAGGACAAAAAACATGAGTTCAAATGTGTTATTTAAGAGCCAAAAACAGGACCGTCTGTGAGTTACTTAGGTGAACAGGTGATTACCAAGGAAACACACAGTAACAGAATTATTTGAGAGGTGCACAAATATTACTGAAATCTTCCTTTATCAAAACAGGAATCAGGAGAGGGCTGTGAAGCTGATGAACCAAGAGGCAGCAGCCAAGGCTCACTGTGTGAAGTTCCAGAGGTGATCATCAGAAAGCCCAGCACGGGCACTGTTAGCCAAAGAAACTTCTGAGATCTGCAGGAGTGGGGCGTGGCATTCCCACCAAAAGCCCTCTTGCAGCTTGGTTCTTTATCCACAGGGGGCACTGTTATGCCACTTAATAAAACCAGCAGCTACCACTCTGGATGCTCCCAGATGCCAAGCACCTAGTGCAAAGCCCTAAGCAGCTCAGACCCTCCTGGCCAGTCCGGGCTGGGGATCCTTCCCTCCCAGGCCTGCCGGCTCCCTCAAAGGACTCCATCTGCAGGGGACAGTGACACACTGGGGCCCCTACCTGCCTCGACCGGCAGCCCCACACCCACCACCCGTACCATCTTTCCTGAGTCCGTCAGTGCCAGCCCCAGGGTATGGGTGTCAGTCACCCTCTGAGTGACTAGGACCCTCGGATGATTGTCCCATATGGGCCCCGGGGAACGTCTGAGAGATGGAGGTGGTAATTCCTCACTTTAAAATACCAACGCACACCTCTAACATCTTTCCTCATCTCACCAACGCCCCTGGACAGGCTTTGAGGGCTGCCTGGGGGTCCCAGCAGCACAGGTGCCACATTTGTCCCTAAGTGTCCATAATCACATCTGCTGGACACTACTGAGCATCCCAAACAGTTGTGTACCCCAGATCTGACGTGGACTGGCCTCGGGCAAGGAGGGCACCCTGCTGCCTGTCACCTAGCTGGCCCAGGGTCCGTGTGCTTCTGTTCCTCTCTAGAGAATTCTAAGGGGCTGTCCAGCTGCCTGTGTCCACAAGGAGGTCACGGGGGAAGGCCACGGACCAGAGGGATGACGTGGACACTCAGGCCGGGGTCCAGGGGTAGCATGTTGCTGGGACTGTGTGCAGCTGGTTTGCAAGTGATCAGAGAAGGGCCAGGGTTTTCACTTTCTCCCTCTGCCCCAGATTCTCCCAGGGCCTAAGATGTCACCTGTCCCCTCGGATGTAATGTCACTTTTGTCCAAAAACAATGCTGACCTTCTCTGTTCTGCTCCCAGCTTAAGACCGTCTATTCTGCAGCTTTCCTGTAGCTCCACAGGCTTCTGAGCCAGAGGGTGCCTTGCTCTTTCCAAAGTCCTTCCCAATGCGGTGTGGATTACACACACGCACCAAGCAGGTACGCAGCAGGCAGAGTTGTGCGTGGTCGGGCAAAGATTAATCTGGCTCTTCAGAATTGATTCCACTTTGCTTCCAACATCTGTCGCCCTTCTCAATTTCACCCTGAACTCAAAGGCGTACAGAAGCTTCAACTGGAAAAGAAACCACCAGGCACTGCCACATGGAGCTCAGTGTCAAACCAAGCAGGGTTGGCATCCAGCACACGACACCTGCCAGCCGGCCACGCCCCAGGGGCCCCTGGTTAGATGCCAGGAAACCCAGCCTCTCCCACCCAGGCCCATCTGGGGCAAGGGACAAAAGCAGGCCTGGAGGGGAGGAGTCCACGACAGCCTAGAGCTGGCCAGCCGGAAATGGGTGAGGGAGAGGGGAAGGAAAGAAGGCAGGGAGGGGCACGGGAGGGAAGGAGAGAGAGAGGAGAGAGGGGCTGCAAGGTGTCAGCAGGGCCTGGCGACTGGGGGCGGCAGGGGAGGGTTTCCTATGACCGTGCCCTTGCATGCCTCGTGTCTTCACAGCAAGCACACAGTCCTGCCATGTTCCTGCCAGAGGACCTCATGGGAACAGGAAAGTATGGAGGTGCCAACCTGCAAGGCGAGGAGGGCTGGATGGTGGCAGGAGTGGATGGGTGAGGAGCACGGGAGATGCCAGGGCAAAGGCCAGAGAGGGAATCGCAGCCTGGCCAAGCAGCCCGGGACAGCCAACACTGACCCAGAGAGAAGCGGGGGCAAAGGCACAGGGGCAGAGTAGACAGGGATCTCCTAGGGAAATGGACAGAGGGCGAAGAGGGGACACCCAGAGGCCAGCCAGAGCTTGGGAAGGAGAGCCGCCGGGCAAGGACGGGGACATGAGGCAGGCAAGAGCACCTCAGGGACACCAGTCAGAGGAGGGCAGTGTCCCCACACCCAGTGGCATCAGGATGTGGCCAAGAGGAACAGATATTTCCTGGGTGGTCCCTCAGACCTAGGTGGCAGGGTTAAGGGGGAGTGCTGCGGAGTGTGGGCACACAGCACACAGAGAACAGAGGCAGCGATGCGACACAAGGCCCAGAGTGGAGGGAGCCAGTGAGGAGTAAGGGGGAGGCAGCCACACAAGACAGTGGGTGCTGCTTCTTCCTTCCTGAAGGAGAACAGGCAGCTGTCTCTGAGGGCAAAGGGAAGACACGCGTAAGAGGCAGACTCTGGATGCTGCAGGGCCACCTGCTGGGCAGACTGGATGGAGGCACCAGGGCAGGTTCGAGCCATGCCACGCTGAGCCTGCCACCCTGTAATGTGGAGTGGTCTCACTGGGACGCCAGGTCTGAGGCCTCTGTGAGCTGCTGGTCTGCAGGACTCCTGTCCTGTGTGCTCACCCATAAGCAGGGTGCTGACTGGTTGTGGGTGCCTTGCAGTACCCAGCATGCCCACTGTGTAATCTTCCTGAATTCCAGAATACTCTGAAGCCCAACACATCTAGCCCAAAGACTTGGGGTGAAAGATTATAAGCCTGTGTGTATGCACACCGGAATTATTTCTTACACAAATGGAGCATGACAGTGCATGCCTATAATCCCAGCCTTGTAGGAGTCTGAGGCACGAGGGTTCCAAGTTCTGGGTCAGCATGGGCAATTTAGCAACTTAGCCAGACTCTTTCAAAATTAATAAAATTTTTTAAAGCTGGGTTGTAGCTCAGTGTGGAGGCCCTGGGTTCAATCCCCCATACTGCCAAAAACATGTAAATATTTGCCTCTTGGTGGGAATATTGAACATAAATTGCTAAGTGCCACTGGGGACTGGGAGAGCAGCCTTGGTGCCCAGCAGAGGTAGGAGGGCAGCACCTGGAGTGACAGGAAGGCAGCTCATAGGGGACCACTGGCCCTCAAACTTCAAGCCTGACTCAGAATCCGCAGGGTGGAAACACCCCTAGACCAAGCACTGCCAACGACCTTTGCCCTCTGGCTAAGACTCTGTGCTCCGGGAAGGGGGCAGGGGTATCTGCACAGGCAACAACACGAAGTATGGCCTCGGATGAGTTCGGGCCACTTGAAGCTAGGTTCCTGAACCCCGGGGCCTTCACTGGTGGGTCCTTTGAGGCCAGAGAGCCACCTGCTGCCCACTGGATGGGTGGAACAGAGACAGTCAAAGCCACCTGCAGTCACAGAGTGAGGCCACACAGCCAGGGAGGGCGAGGACCAGCCCCAGAAGCCAGGGCCGGGCCCAGAGCCAGGACCAGCACTCAGGACAGCAAGGACTCCCACCCCCAGCACAGGGCTGGGCACTGCAGAATGCCACCTATGTGGCAACCAGCCTGTCAGGGGTGCAGACAGGTGACACAGGACTGTCGCCTCCAACACTGAAGCCATAGAGAGGCAGAAGACATGAAATCACTAATCAATCATAGTTCAAGGGACTGAAAAGATAAAGGATGTAAAACATGATTGAACAGATGGATTTAATTTAAAAGAAGAACGTGGGCCAGGGATTTAGCTCAGTGGAACCCTGTCTGCCTCGAAAGTGCAAGGTCCTGAGTTCAATCCCCGGTACCAAAAAAAAAGAAAAAAGAACTGGTTAAATTAAAAGAAACCAAAGAAAACCCTAGACTTTTTGTGTTTTTTTGTGACAAGGTCTTGCTATATAGTTCAGGCTGGTATTGAACTCACTATGTACCCCAGACTGGCCTGGAACTCACAGTGATCCTCCTGCCTCAGTCTCCCAAGTGCTGGGATCAGAGGCGTGTGCAACCATGCACAGCTAAACCCTAGACTTTTTTTTTTTTTTCAGTTCTTTTATTGGTCCATTTTAGGTATACAATACAGTTACATTTATCATTGGGTGCTTCTACCTGCACATGATGCATCTT